AGGGGTCCCCCCATGGTCCCCTCCCTCAGCCCCCCTCCTCCACCCCCTACTTCCCAGCTCATAGTCGCCTGCAGGTCCCTGCTGCAGTCACCAGGGACTGCCTGAATCACCAAAGCTTTGAATCGATTTGGACCTTTTAATTGGTCCCCTGATTCAATTCAGATTTGGAGATTCAGACACCAAATTGGGCCGAATCTCCTCTGAATTGAATCACCACCCGAAGCTTCACACCGCCCTGATGTGCACCCCTATTAGGTTGCACAAAACTACTAAACTTTGCAGTGGGGTAGAACTTGTAAACATAAGTCCTACCCTGCTGCAGAGTTTTTCATGTGCAGCAGTGAATGTGTAAACACTGAGCCAGCTAGCCCCCACGCTGAAGCACCCTTGTATCCCAGCCAACCCCTCTGCAGCCCCAAGCTGGTCTGGCCACCAAGGTGCCCTGCCAGCTGGGGCTGCTGCAACCTGGTTCAATATGCTGCAGGCCAGGTGTGTATGCAAGCCATGTGCAAGGGAGCTTCAGCAATGGCATGTGTAGATGTACTCAGTCAGCATGAGGAAGAGAACAAGGCTCCATCCATTTTTCTGTCTACTCTGGCATGAGGAGATAAAGTGGGCACTTATGCCCAGCTGTAAATGACTTGCTCAGCAAGGTAAAGGAACCTTCAAGACTTAATAAACCCTCTAATTTTGTAATTTGTGTGAAGGTCACAGGTTTCTCAAGCTGTTATGTCTGCCAAGTGAAGGCCACACTCCACAGGTCTCAAGCCATTACAGAAATCTCCTACTTGTCACCCCAGTTCAGGCTTGTCATAGAAATTCTGGGGGTCTTGGCAAGCATGGTAAGCTAGAGATGGGCATCTGGCTGAACATGTAGGAGCTGAAGTGGCACTTTGTAGATCTTAAATCCATCATTTTTCTTCCTTAGAGCAGGGATTTGGGAGTTAGGAGTCCCGGATTCTATTCATGACATTGACACTGAGTCATCGTATGACCTCAGGCATGCAGATACCATGGTGATGAATGCAACATAAAGCCTAGACGGATAGACTAGAGTAGATAGGCTGTGCATTTGACAGCTCCTTGTGTACAGGCATTGTCACTGTTTTACCCTTCTAAAGTCACTCAATTTCCTTTGGTGTTTTAATGGGTCTTTCATGCCACAGCAGAGGAGAGAAATATATTTTTACATTGGAAAATTGTGTTTGTAAAACGACAAAAACCAACGTGTGGGCTGGAGGGAGACAAAGGGTAGAGGTCTCAGTGGCAGGGTCTCTGAGGGAAAGCAGCACACACTGAATAGCAAAATAGATTGGGCGTGAAAGGGGCAGTTTTGTAGCCAGTGGCATACAAGAGATTGAGGTGGCTAGTGTCTGAATGTTTTTGACTTCTTAACCTGAATGAGTAGACTCCCATTTAGAGCTGGGTTGACCGAGGGAGCCTTCATCACAAGTCTTGAGTCATGTCTTACACTCACATCTCTAGAACTATACTGAGGTATTTTAGTCACTTTCATACTTAGTTCCTCCAGCACACAAGACTAGAAGCCAGGCTTTCTGAGTCCTAGTCATGGCTCTGCTGCAGACATGCCATGTAGCCTCAGGCAAATCTCTGTTTTCTCTCCTACTTTTTTCCCCTGGCTTTCAACTCTTCAGGGCAAGAACTGTGTCTTGCTATATGTATGTGCATCCCCTAGTACAAGAGGACCCTGATCTTTGCTAGTACTTTCAATAAAAATAATAAGAAATTTGCAAAGGAAAGACATTTTCCTACTACGGCTTTTAACCAGCTGCCTATATTTTTTAAAGTCCAGCAATGCAAAGTGAATATTACTTCCTGCTGCAGAATGTCCAACAAGTTCTGAGTCAGAAAAGAGAAGGGAAAAAATGATGCACTGCCTCGTTAAGGAGATTTGCATAGGAGGTTCTAATTAGAGTTGATATTGATTCTGATGTTTTAAGTGTTATTCATATTCCATTAAAGGATAATGCTGTCTAATTTGTAGGCAGAGGGTCTCTGTAACAGTACACCCAATCACAAGGGAGCCTTAATGACACTACTTTTCTACTTCTGGTAACACATAATTAAAATATCATTTCATTTCCAGTTCATACGTTTCCCCCTGTTTGCTAATTATTATTTTTTTAGTCATTGCATGATTATCTGTAAATATTTCAGCACTTGGATCTGCTAATGAATCGATGGAAAAGTTAATGCTTTGCGTGGCAAAATTTGCTGCTGCTCCATTTCTTATATCAGGCAGCAAGTCTGCATGTTGCAGGGAGCAGACACAATCACTCACTGGAAGAGACACAGGATGAGGATATGCCCTGGGTTGGCAGGGACAGTCCTGGATTCATAGGCCAGTCCTGACTGAATGGTGAAAAGTCCAAGAAGCAGAGGCAGGGGGGCAGGGCTGTGGGGCACAGTTTGGTGTGGAGGTGAAGCAGCACAGTGTGCCAGACAGGTGGGTCTGCACTGCACTGCTGCTGTGCAGGAGCAATACAGGTAGACTGGAGCAGTGTCCAGCCCCCCCTCCCTCATCTGCCTCCAGCCGCTACTCAGGTAGAGCTGGGCCCAGCATGTACCATGCCAATCTGCCTCCCCCCAGACTGAGCTCTGCACCTCTGCCCACCTGCCTCTGCCCACAGCAGCGTCACTAAAACTGGGGAGTGGGGAGAGCAGTGTCCCAGATTTCCTTAAAAATAATACGGTCACCCTAAGAATGAGAGACTAGGATGCCTTTGGAATAAGGACCATTCAGAGGGATTCAGGGTTGAGGTAGACAAAAATGAAAACTAAAACCCTAGGTCTCTAACTTCCCTTAAACTAGATTCCCGTCTCTTATAGGAGTTCTCCCTTTACTGGCTGTGGTAGTAGGTCTTTCTTTTTTTCCCCTCTGTAGACCCAGGTAATACTAGTATGCATGCAGTACTTTATAACTGCAGTGTGCACAGAGAGCATTACATTATTGTCCAAAAAACTGCATCTTGAAATCTTGTAGGTAGGGAGTTATTATTGTAAATTACTCAGAGCCAGGATGTTTTCTATCTATAGCAGTGAGGCATGTGAGTGTTAAGAGAGGGGCATTTTGCAGCCTTTGGAGGGCTGTGTTCTTTTTCACATGCCCATTACATGTATTTCAGTTGGACATGGGTTCTGCAGTGGGCGTCATTTGGCCATTGAAACTTCGGGATAACAGAATATTCCCGTCCTTCAGTGAACATGTTCAAAGATATCCACACAGTTCATTGGCTGTTGGGGTGTGGTGGGACCAAGCTGGTACCTATTACCAGGCAGATTAGGATGAAGCAGGTAGAGTTGGATAAGTAATTGAAATGCAATTCTGTTTTGAGAAATAAGTGGAAAATGGTATCTTCTTGCTCTGTGCATGTCCAGTTATACCAACCAACACAGGTTTTTTAAAATGGTTTTGCCATTGCAGAGCCCACCTAGTGCAGAGGGAGTAAGCTGGAGTCTCTCCTGTTTTGTACATCACAAGCAGACTTGTTTATTATGTTCTGGTTAGGTGGCCAATCAGTGCCTTATACAAGCTCTCTGAAAGTAATGGGCTCTGCTGGTATTACTGAGGGCATTACCAGACATTACCTGTAGAAATGATATTACTGGCTATGATGCTCAAGAAGGAAAAAATCCAGCTTATCTCTCAGTCTTAGGGTTAGTGTGCAAGGTAGGAGTCAACTCTCCCCCACCCTTTTGCTCTTGACAATTAAGCCCTCGTGATATGGAGATGCTTGAAAGTCAACAAACCTGGAATGCGCACAGTGTGTTGTCTATAAATATTTCTGAGTAAGTGCTGAAATGGGAGGCTGAGTGGCTGAGCTCTCAGATTGCTTTAACCTTGTCCTTTTGCATTTCAGGTAACCCTGTCACTGTGGGAATGAGTATTCATATCTCCAGTATTGATCAGATTTCAGAAGTCAACATGGTAAGTCTAAAGTACAATAGAGCAAACAGCAACATGTTTATCCATCTTTTGGGAGAGAGACAAACCCAAGGCAGTGGCCACTCCAAGTCGTTAGAGTTATCATATTTTGCGAGAGGAAGGCTGATGAAATTTCAGTCTGTTTAATTAAATTCTGCTGCCATAAATTATTTCTGTAATTATTTGTTTCTCCTTCAAAAACTTCTGTGTAGCGTTGATAGTGAGGAATGTCATATATGCTCCATTCCAAAAGTAGTTGCATTTCTGTAGTGGGTGAGAATTATACAAAGTAAAAGCATTAAGACCTTTTCTGAATAAACTGTAATGTGTTCTGCATATGTAATAAAAATGATTGGACTAAAATAACTAATTTATTCTTTCCTACACCCAAAGAAACATGTTTCTAACATGGTGTGACAGGTTTATGGCACTGGATCTATGTGCCTTATTCTGTGTTCCACTGACTCATCATTTTAGTGGCCTCATGATATGATTCTGGGGTTGCACATTATATTTGCCGTAGAGTTTCATCCCACCACCACTTTGCAAGATGGTGTTAGAAGGAAACACTTACAAGGTTGGGTACTTTTGAAGGCTCTCTGGTGTGTTCACTCTGGTTTTTAGTGATACAGGTTGTCACTGTTGTATCTCAGCTTGCTGGAAGACTGCACTTGGATGGCTTAATTTGGGCCAAAGTTCTAGTACTTTTAGAGAGCAGTTCTCTTGTACACTGACTTTAGTTTTTCAAAATGCGCCTTCAGGAGGTGAGGAATCTTTCCTGAGTAGGTGAACTGCCAAAGACCAGATATTACCTCTCCTCAGCCAGCATGTGTCCTATAAGTTGGAAAAAACAGCACTGGTTGCATCCAATGCGTGCCTTACTGGCTGCATCCAATGCAGAGGCTGTATGCAAATATAAACATACTATCAGAAGGAGAGGTGCCTACAGTGAGCTTGCAGGCCTTGACATTGGATTGGTGGTATAGACCTTCCCTTCTAGCTTAGAAAAAAAGCTTTCTGATGTTAAACAAAATGAGAGTATCTTGGAGAGAAAAGCTCTCTCCTCCATTTTCCCTTCCCCACCACTAAAGTTGTGACCACTGATTAGCAATGGGACAACTGCACACCTTTCCCTGTGCATTATTACATATTTCAGAAGCCCTTGGCATTTAGCAAAGGACACCTAACTGCTGAGGTATCAAGAAGAGGGCCTGTCTCAGTCCTCCCTCCTCCCTAGGGTCACTTCCAGGCAGCTTTTCTCCTGAATCTGCTGTTTTTTGAAAGGCTGAGCTTTATGGAAGGTTGAAGGCAACATTTATCAGAGGCCATTTCTCTGTTCTCTTTGTGTTTCTAAATTATGTAGAAGAATCCCTGATTTATTTAAAGCTTCCCTTGCCAGAGAAGATAATTAAAGAATTTGTGTCCTAGTACTTCTGTCCTGTTTCTCTGGGGTGGGGTGAATAGGGAAACTGCTCCAGGAGCTGACGTGGGAGTGGGGAGAAGGCACAAAAAATGTGGCCACTGCTGGCAGCCACATGAATACAACTGGCAGTCACTGCTGCCTCTGAGTGCCTGAGTGCCCCGCTGCAGGGCTGCTGATCTGGACTCTCCTACCTAACTTCTGTGCCTACCAGTCCTCCTGTTGTGCTTGTGATTTTTTGGACCCACCTGACCTCAAGTTCCATTTTGGGTTAAAAATATTCTTAATACTGGAATGGATTGGGTCAAAATGTGTTGATTTCAGTGGGGCTTGCATACACATACAGAAAGGCTGAAATTAGCTCACAGGGCTTTCAGGTTCTCAGAATAAACTCTTTGACCCATACATTTTTGTACAGTGAAGCCTTATAGTGCTGTACCAAAATGTGGCTTCGCTTTGGAACCTGGGCTGCCCATGGGTCTAGGTTAGATTTCCCTGCATTTCAAACTTCCGTGCATAGAGCAGCACTTCAGTCTTGCTTCTAACTGCTTACTTTATGGGACCACTTCGTAAGTCTACCCTCTGCCTCTTGTATGTACTTGCATGGTTCCTATTATTGTAGTACCCAAGCACCTTCTAATCCCTAGTGCATTGATCTTCCCAAGACCCCACTGAGGCAGGGCTTCTATCCTTACTGTACAGATTAGCACTGAAATACAGAGAGACTAAGGACCTCAGCCTAGGAACAAGTTATTGTGAGGCACAGGAAGGCAGGAACCATGAGAACATTCTTAGCCCACAGTTAAATGAAAGCTAATCTGTGGCAGATTAGACCTCAATGAAAGAGGGTTAACTTGTATATACATCCATGCACTGTTGCGCATCAGATACACTGTAAAGTCCCATTTTCTTTTACCTGGTAATAACCAGGTAATAACCATATGTGCCCGTGTCCTATATCTGTGACAGGGAGCTGACCCCAGGTCTCCTGCATATCAAACTGGCACTTTCCTCCCATTATGCTAGTATTGCCTTTCAACCCAGTTCAGAGCCATTGAATCAGGTAAAGACAGCCCACTCCACTATTAAGGAGGCCATTCACCTCTTTGCCATATAGGCCAGGTCTCCAGTGGGAAGGGACCAATGTCTACCTGGGTAGGGAGGGAACGCTCTCTCACATTAGTTTTGTCATGTACATGCCCAGAGGGTGGCCCAGAAGTATGTCATGTTCTCACTGTAGGAGCCTTTTTCGCATGCCAGGTATGACAGGAAAATGCTTCTGCCTTCTTCTGCCTCATGTGCTCTCTCCTAGGAATATATGTTGCCCCCCCACCATCAATGCAGGAATTTCTGAAGCATTGTTCTCCTGCCTGTGTTTGGTACATGAGGCTGTCTCCAGGAGTGTGTTGATTGCGTTCATTCTCCCCGGGATGGCTCCTCATGTGAACAAGCTCTTTTCATGCTCATGGTAAGCATGATGAACCCTTGCTGAGGAAACATTGCATTTGTCCACGCTGGGGGTTGCCTAATTTTCCTGAGTGCTTTGAGTCCTTTCCTACCAGATCTGCTGGCTGGAGGGACTTGTTGGCTATAGTTCTGCTAACCATGTTTATTACATCAGATTTGCCACAGGGGAACTATCTTTCTGACTGTGCTGCATGCTGGGTTCAGGGTGGTACCCTTGATGGAAACACCAAGTATGAACTCTGGCATGGTCCAAGGCCTGGGGTGTTAATGTGCGATTCAACAGAATTGGATTGAATCCCTGTTTCTGCCACTGATATGCTGTGCGGCAGTTGGACACACCACTTTGCAAGTCTGTGTCTCTCTTTCTCCCTCCTGCCTTTTGTTTGCCTTACCTTTTGAGTACAAGCTCTTCAGGCAGTGCTGTCTTTACAGTGTATTTGTAAAGCATCAGGCATGCTGCTGTCCTAATTGAGATTAGGACCTATAGGTGTCACTGCAACAGAAATAACAAGAACATGTAAGGTATCTTTAAAAGGGCTTAAAAACCCAGAGCCATTTTAATGAGCAGACCTTTAGAGACCAGGGATAAGGTTGTTCTTTGTGGGATATGAGTGGCTGGCATGAACAGGTATTTACCTCTTGTTATCCTCACTCTGTAAGAAATGCCCCTGGGCAAGGGTCTATGTCTTGCTCTGGATATGGGTACAAGGATATTAGCAAGAAAAACAAGGCATTTCTCATTATTGCATGATCAGGAAAGGGACCACTCAGTGAATAAATTAAAGGTACACAAGTAGAGCTATGTTGCTATGGAAACCAGATAGCTGCCAATGTTATACAATGAGCAGTATTACTTACTGCCCCTTGTAGGATAACTAATTAATCTCCAAATATCCTTTGCCAGCACAATGGGTGCTGCTACTGTGATTGTATAGTATAGGGAGAGTCCACAGATCTTTCATGCCCTTTTTCTGTTCCTTCTCTCAGGACCGCAGGTTCACCTACAGGGTGAACAGCCAGAGTGGTGGTAAGTGCCAGAGGTACCTGGGTGCTCTGCAGAATTATTTAAGAAGTTAGTACTCAGTGAGGTTCTAGCCAGATATAGTGTTGAAATATAATGTAGTTCTGCTCACAAAGTATATTCAGTACTTTATTGGACATTGTAATCCTGAGGAGATGATACAGTGATATTTCAGTGCTGGGGATTTCTGGATACTTTAATGCAGTAAAGTTAACACAGTTTTGTCTCAGTACTGGAGGTTCCCAGATGTTGTGCTGTAATACAGTTGGGCAGATGTAGTTTTGTTTCTGCATAAACCCATGCCTCATTTCTGAAGGTCTCAAGCTATTTTGATATGGCAGTGGTTTTCAAACTTTATAAAGTCATGGAACGCTTTCAAATCACTTTTTCTGCAGCAGAATCCCTATCCCTATCCTAAAGACTGATGTGGAGTTAGGCAATCTGGTCTAGCAATGGTGGTGCACTGCCTCGCGGCCCTCTCTGGCATTACCCTCAATCTTTCTGTGGAAACCCTGACAATCTGTTGTGAAACACCAGGGTTCTGTGGGACACAGTTTGAAAACCAGTGTGCTACTGTATAGCAGATGTGATGGAGTCAGGTTGTAGTGTGAGATGCTTCTAGATGCAATGTTGCAATTATCTTTGCAGTGACATTAAAATCAAATAGCAATTCTTCTCTGAAAACTGGCTGTCACTATCCAAAAACGGCAATCTTTTTGGCCACAAACACTGCCCCTAATATGTAGTCAGAGTCCTATCTTTTGACTTGGCTCATCAAAACTCTGTTTTATTACTTTGTACACCTCATTTCTGCTCAATAAGACTGCCCTGGAATCTGTGTGTTCCTTGACATATTAGCAGGATTGCTTTCTCTGTTTCAGTCAGTTAATGATAAATCTGGCAAATATGTTTCAACCTGCTGTAACTGAGAGACAACAAATTCGGAATTACCCGATGCCATTTTGTGGAGTCACTTTTTGCAGTATGGCAGATGCACAGTGTGGCATTCAGACTTGCAGTTATTTCCAGATTGGATTATCCTATTAGTCCACCTAAACTGCTCTCCCATCTCTGACAGAGATTGCTACCAGATGC